TTTGATTTACATGCCACAGGGAAGTTTCAGGAGGCAGCGACCAGAACTGCCCTGGGCAGTCTGGAGAGGAGGCTCCCAGAGAACAACAACAAAGACTATCCTATCTGTGGCTATTTTAGAAACTGAACCATGCAGACTGATGTAATAGCTGCTGTCACACTTGCTCCACTAACTGACAGGTGAGGCATTCTCTTCACTGGGAACGAAAACAACTCTCTCTCCCTGCAGGCTCCAGCTACTCCTTCCAACCACTACTTTGCCCATGTCTTAGACGAAAGAGCCTCTGCCCTCCCCTGTACAACTGCTGAAATCGCTTCCTTAGCACCATTTTTCCTCTTGCCATATTGCCTGCACAATCCCATATGTCTGGGGAAATCCACATTTCAGAGGACTGGGAGGGACATGAGAAGTTTAGAGAAGCCCAGAATGCTTGAGGTTGGAAGGGACCTCTGGAGATCATCTAGTCCAACCTCCCTGCTCAAGCAGGGTCATCTAGAGCACATTGATCGTGCATTCAGACAGCTTTTGAATATCTCCAGGGAAGGAGACTCCACAACCTCTCTGCGCAACTTGTTCCAATGCTCTGTCACCCTCACAGTCAAGAAGTTTTTCCTCATTTTCAGACCGAACTTCCTGTGTTTCAGTTTGTGCCCGTTGCCTCTCGTCCTGTCGCTGGGCACCACAGAGAAGAGTCTGGCCCCATTCTCTTGACACCTACTTCAGCTACTTACACACATTGATCAGAACCCCCCTCAGTCTTCTCTTCTCCGGGCTGAAAAGTCCCAGCTCTCTCAGCCTTTCTTCATAGGAGAGATGCTCCAGTCCCTTCATCATCTGGGTAGCCATTCACTGGACTCTCTCCAGTAGTGCCATCTCCCTCTTGTACTGGTGAAAAGTAATCAAGGCTTCCACTCTTTGGCATGTACCTGTGCCAATAGGAGGGACCGCACAACTGCTCTCCTTTCCCAGTCCTCCCCTCCAGTCCATTCCAACGCTCGGTTATCTTAGTCTTTAGAGAGGCTTGCTCTGAGGAACATCTAACCTAAATATTCCCTCCGGAGATTTTGGCCCACTTTTCCTTGTCTTGTTCGCTGAAAATAGATTATTCTGTTTTTCTTTGTAGCTTGCTGAAGACTGCCTTCCCATTCTTCCTTACTTCCTCCCCTCTGAAAAGACCAAGCACATCTTTTTCTGTTTTCAGCATCAAAAGGTGTTTAATCCTACTAAACACTAGAGTCATTTAGCAGTTATCTTCTCCAGTGGACAAAAAGGGGGAGGGGGGGATCAAACACAGAAGTTTGCATTAGACCTTCATTATATTGTCTCATTGTGGTTGACAAAAGCTTGTCAATATTTCTGAAAAATGTGTGAGAATCAAAATGAAAAAGTTCATGACAGTTTGTTCACTTTGGATAAAATCTTAACAATGTAAACTTTCACTATGTTGAGGCATAGGATAAAAATATTTGATTTTTGATAAATGCTGCTGAAATCCATAAAAAGTTGAATTTTTTTTTTTCATTTTTCATCCTCTTACTAAAAGCAGATTTGCAGTAGATTTGCAAGCAAAACTATTTAAAAATAACTGCCCCCTATTCTGGAATGTCCTTAAGCATCTTAGAAGCTTGTCAAGTAACAAACGCTTCTAACAGCAAACGTAATGCTTAAAAATCTGTTCCTGCTTCGCCACAGTGAGGGTCCTAAAGGTAAGGAATGCTCAAGACACGTTGGCAGGGAGAGCGGCAGGTGCGCCTGGCACCGTGCAGGCAGAAAGCAGCTCCGCAGCGAGCATCTCTCCTCTGCGCTGAGCCAGGTTGGAGGGATGAACTGAGGGTCACGCCACTGCTGTGGCGTTAGAGCCACGTGAAAAGACTAGGCTATGTCTCTGTTAGCAAATCAAACAGTGTCAGGGAACAACCCTGGGCACCAGAGCTTGAACTCTGGGTCTGTGCAACTCGGTTGCTAGAGTGATCCCTGGGACTCCTTGGTCCAGGCTGACTAATACCCTCCTTACCAACGTTGGGGGGTGTGATGCAGGAGTAAGCAAGGGCTAGGGATCATTCCCAGGAGATAGTTTGGATGTGACCTACCCCCTCTTTGGAGGGTAAGGGAGTTTGATAGCCTGGGCATGGCCTGTACTATGCCAGCCGGTCTCAGCTCCAGAGAATGATGATGAGCACATTTAATTTCAGCTAGATAAATGCGAAGCACAGAGGGAGCTAATATTTTTGGATGTAAAAATATCGTATTAGGATGGGAGTTTAATTTGATTGAATTATAGCTTGACCTCAGATACGAATACTTTCCCCTCGGCAATATTATTTACCATTTATTTTTGTTTTATTGGGTTTTTTTTTTGTGTGTGTAAAACTTTCTGAATGTCAATACTAGGAAAAAAACCAAAGTTTTACCCTACAAAATTAGTCGTCTTCAGTGTATAGTGCTCTGACACTTCAAGCTTTTTTTTCAAACCTACTACTTCAGTTATATTGAAGTTTAAACACCAAATGAGATTTGACATATTCCTACTTACACTTTTCAATGGTGTTGTCCTGGCTCTCTTCTGAAGAACCTCTCTCAGCTATGCTTACAGCTAACACATTAAGAAAAAATACTACTGCATGTAAATTAGTTATGGCAAAAAAAACCCAAAGTGGCTTTGCTTCTTGCTCCAGTCTGTACCATGAGTGAAAGTTTCTGCCCCTCTCAAATATAATTGTTTTAGGCAGAAGTGAGCAAACTTGACCCCAGAGCTTTGTTCTGGCTGTAACTTCTTGTTGGCTCTTGGGATATTTATCTGAAACATTTTTTTCTCTCTTTTATTTGAAACACTGTGCATTTCTTATGCCTACCCTCCTGCCTCAAGTTAAACAACAAATCTGAAGTTTTGGAAGCAGCACATCACCAAGATCTCAATCTCCTATGTGTGTCACGAGCATATACATTATATTAGATCTCACAGATTTTTGTCTAAGTAGATTCAGCGAAGTGCACTCCACTGAACAATAACTGAAATCAAACAAACAAGTAAGTATTCAGAGCGAGATAGAAAATGAGCAGGAAAAATTTCAGGATTTTGATGAAATCTCTGCCTCCTTTCTGATAAGCTGCTGAATTTACTAAGCTCTGCTTAGAGCTTCATGTGCGGTAACAGAGCAGATACAATCTGATGAATTTAATCACAGCCTGATGCAGTCTGAGACACCTGAAAGCACATTATTAATAATTGCTCAGATTCATAACTCATTAACTAGCACAGACATGGCACAGTCCACTTTTCAGAGGACTGTACTGAGGGTGGGCTGAACGTCCAAATATAGATGTATGTGTCTGGGCTCCCCCTCAGCGGGCAGGAAAGGTGTAAAAGCGAGCAGAGTATCCAGATGTTAAATTAACCGCTTCTTTTGCTTTCTAGAGTCTATCCTTGCTCTTCTAACCTACATGTCCCCTTCTGAAAGTGAATGCAAACTGTGCATCTAAACAATTGCTTTCCTCGGGCAGGATGCTGAATTTCGTAGGCCAAATTACTGTTCAACGAGAATGATTTCTCCAGGCTTAGCGTCTCCACTTCGCACATGCAGTGCACGCTGCGAACAGCAGGGGCTGCTCCGCCTGCACCACAGCGCCGCTCGTTTCAGCGCCCTTTCCATATTCCCAGAGGGCCTCTAGAGATCAGTTCATGAAACATAAACTTAATGGGGCTGGGGGACGTGACGTTGTCTCAAAGTCAATATTTTTTGAATCTATGAATGGTTAAATAAGCATTATTTGCTGGTTGCGCATTAACGTACAATCAGTTGCCAGGTGGGGGAAACAAAGCGTGTATGAAGTTCTGCACAATCTGCAGTTTAGTACCAGGAAGTACCTGTCGATGAAAGATAAGCAGTCTGCCAGGACGCAAATGTTATTACTCTAGTAATTGCCTAAAATCATTTTCAGCTCTTGTCAGAAAATGATGCACTTACTCACTCTCACTCTGTTTTAGCCACGCACAGACCCGGGCCCTTTCTCCGTTTCCCGCACGCTCTCGCCCTGACTTTAGCTACCTGCCGTGGCCATCAGCTCCGATGCTGCGCGCTCAGCCTGCTCCTGCAGGAGAGGGCCAGGAAGCATAACCCAGGCTATTTTTTGTCCCTGAGTAGTCTATCAATACACTGATTCCTTCTCCAAATGCTACCGTGTGTCACTAATAATGTTGGTGCCCTTTTGCAGACAGGGCTGTTAATAGCTGTGTCTAGACAGAGAGAAATTTTTCTTCCTTGTATGAACGTTTCACCTTTCCAATTTTCTTCTTTTTTTTCCTGCAAACGAACACAACCTCGGCCTCTCCTCTCCCCAGAGGTTTTCTCCACCGGCAGCCCTGCAAAATGGAAATTAATCAGCA